AAACCATTATCATTTCAAAATGTTTCTTACAAGATTAAAGTAGTAGTTAAGGTAATATCTTGTTCAAGAAATTTTATGTTTTTAAAGTAAGAATAAAAAAAAATAATAATTTTACACCCTAACATTAAACATGACACTTCTACCCCATGTTCAGTGTCTTGCAAGTTTACTTTACGTTTTCAAAGCATATTCCACAAAGTGCAACAGAGCCAGTCAAGCAGCGCTCTGGCTTTCTCTCTCCCCCCGTGTCCTCCTGAGGGGCCTGTGTGTGAGCAGCAGCCTCCTGGAGCTCCCTGCTTTTATACTCCGTTATTTTTGACCTGCCGTGCTTACGCAAAACAAAATTCCGGTCCAGCCTGCGAGCCAAGTGGAAATGGACTCCATTTCCTGAGGAAAAACTTCACACTCGCTTCCTGTACTTTCACTCCGCAGTCACCTTCAGACGAGTTTAAGGATACAGATGCAGCTACTCTTGGCCTTTTGCCCAAACGCCAACTGTATCCACACAACAGTAAGCCAAACTTTATGCTTGTCGGCGCGCAAGTTTAGTTTGGACCTACGCTAAAAAGAAAAAAAAGGTCCCATTACATTCCTGGTCCCACTCTGTTATAGGTCAGTCAGAGAAAAATAAACAATTACAATTTAGTCTTTAAAATTTACACCTTGGAGACAACAATCAACCGTCTTGTGTCATCAAAGGCCTTATCAAACTGAGCTTGTGTAAAAAAAAAAAAAAGAAAAAGAAAAAAAAAACTTGGCAAGTATAGTGACAGACAGATAAAGAGTCCCCCAAGGTTCAGGTTTCTCTTTTGTGACTCTCTTTCTGAAAAAAGAGGAAGTCTTCCAGCTGACATTTTCCAAACACAATTACCTGAGATTACAGCTGTGAACCGACAAAAATACAAAAACAGCCAGGACAGAGAGAGATGTTAGCATGCAAACACTAACCACTTTAATAATGTTTATATTTGCATTTAAAGTTTTGTTCACTTTTTTAAAACTACCTTATATCTCATCTTAAATCTTTTTGTAATAATGATGGTCCTGGAGGCCACAGGCTGCATC